CCCAGAATTCCCCAGCCAGCGAATGCTGGCTGGGGAATTCTGGGAGTTGAAGTCCAGACATCTTCATGTGGCCAAGGTTGAAAAACACTGCTTTACAGGAGCAAAACTCAACAACAGCCCTCAAAATTCATAACGGCCAACATTTTAAACGGGCCTTTAAAAAAAGGTTAAGATTCACCTACGTATTACTCCACAAATAGCAAGATTTGCAATCTTTTGCTAGGTACATTTGTAAGATGAAAGGGGACTGGATTGCATTTTCTAATATTCCCATCAAGTCTCAGGAAGGGTGAAGAAAAAAAAAGTTTTGCAGGAGCACAGAACAAAGCTCCTCCTGCATCTTTAACATAGGATGCCCTTTTGTCTTTCTGCATTCCAAATTTATGAAGAGCAACGGGCATCACACAAACACACTGCTAAAGTTTTTGATGCTGCTAAAGAGAGAATAACAGTGAAAGGCATACTCGGGAGTTTCTTACATTTTTTGCTCTTAGGGCATTTTTTTTAGAGGAGGACAAGCTCCAAAGAGCTTTGTTTGTATGGGCTATGATCAATATTTACCCTATCAAACATTTAAATAATACTGTGGGAAGCCCCCCACCCTTTCCTTAATAGCCCACAGCAGATGTCAGCACTTGAGATAAAGAGTCTATTGAAAGAAGACAAGTATCTAGAGAGCTGTATTCATAAGCAAATACCCTCACCCAAGAGCAAAAACAGGACTAAAGCCATTAAGCAACAATAGGAATTGCATCACCCCCAGAGCAGCCCAAACTTCAACCAAACCTGGGAGCTCAGATACTAGGATGTGCATTTCCTCTTTTGCCTATAGAGCCAGTTATGACCCCATGAGAATCTGGCAACAGCCAATAGAATACACAGGAACAGAAAGATTCAAGTTCAAAGCCCAAAGAAGGTATAACACCATCACCCCAACTCCCTCTGGTCAGCTGTATCAGAACCATGTGCTTGGTGGTTCTGCTTCATTATTAAACCATCTTTCCAATCAGCCTCCATGTTTCCAGTGTCTTTCTCCCAGCTTGCTGTTGGAATCCATTCCGGGTGTGTGTGTGCAGGGCAGTTTCTGCTGTCTGAAACACACATACACAGGGATGCAAAAACATCGCACCAGAAACATCTTTCCGGCCTAAACGGCCAGGACTCATGCAGCCTCATGTAACATGAACTATGTGAGCCAGCTACTCCCACACATGCCCTTTCTCCCCCCCTATGCTGTGCTGTAACTTTCTATTCTCCCTTTCAGCTCCCAATGCCATGCAGCTTGTCACATAACTCCTTGTGTGGGTGTGGCGGTCACCCATGGCCCAGTGCATAACAGGGCATGCGCAGCCACGCTGAACCACAGGAAACAAACTCCATAACATCCTGGTACCCTGATAGTGCATAACAGAACATCCTGATAGTTCATTCTAGATGTGCCTTACCCAATGACGCCCAGGATTTGACCATATATAGACAGAACTTCCCTGAGCAGTAGATTAGCAATTGTAGTTTTACAGGCTGTAAAACTTAAATCACATGCTGATTGCTCCTCCTGCCTTTGTTCTATCTCAATAAAAGGGGCTACCAGACCCCCAATCTGGGTCGCTCCATCCCGAGAAGAGCTCGTGTCCGTGTCTTTTCTCCACATTGGCCTCATGGACGAACCACGGGAACATCACACTTGGCTTCTTTCCGGCCCATACAAATTTGTTGATACCCTTCTGCCATTCTAAAAG